GTGGCGCACGCCTTTAATCCCAGAACTCGGGAGGCAGAGGCAGGCGGATCTCTGTGAGTTCGAGACCAGCCTGGACTACCAAGCGAGTTCCAGGACAGCCTCCAAAGCCACAGAGAAACCCTGTCTCGAAAAACCAAAAAAACAAACAAACAAACAAACAAAAAAACAAAGTGTTTGTTTCACCTTACGGTTCAGAGGGATAGGGATTCATGATGGTGAGGCAATGTGGCCGTAATCGGGGCAGGATACTGAGAGCCCACATCCTTTACGGAAGCATGAAGCAGAGAGAAAGACTCTGGAGATGGCAGAAATCTTTTAGCTCAGAAATCCCTTCCCTGGTGACATACTTCCTCCAGCAAGACCACACCTACATGTCCCCCACGCTACACTCACTGTCTTAGTCTCCGTTCTATTGCTGTGAAGAGACACCATGACCATGTAACTCTTATAAAAAAGAAAGCATTTGAGTGGGGGTTGGCTTACAGTTTCAGAGGTTCAGTCCGTTATCATCATGGTGGAAAACAGGCAGGTATGGTGCTGGGGGGGGGGGAGAGAGAGCGAGGGAGGGAGGAAGGGAGAGGGAGGGAGGAGAGAGAGAGGGGAGAGAGGAGAGAGGAGAGAGGAAGAGAGAGGAGAGAGGAAAGAGAGGGGAAAGAGAGAGAGAGGAAGAAGAGGAAGAAGAACAAGAGAAACTGGGTCTGGCATAGCCTTTTGAACTTTCAAAGCCCACCCCCAGTGACACACCTCCAACAAGGCCACACCTCCTCATCCTCCCCCCCCCAATCCCACTAATTAGGGACCAAGCTTGCAAACATATGAGACTTTGGGAGCCCTTCTCCTTTAAATCACAACACATATAAGAGCTTGAGGCCAGATCTGAATTGCACAAGGGGCTGGGGAGATGGCTCAGCTGTTAAAATCCCTGGCTGCTCTGGCAGAGAGCCTGGTTTTGGTTCCAGCATCTACACAGCAGTCCAGTTTGTTCTGAGCCAAAAATGAGTGACTGAGGCCCGGGAATACAGTCTAGGGTTGCCCGAAATGACATGACCCAGCATGGACTGGGTCACATTAGCTTTTATAGTCACAGAACAAAAGAAAGTCATAAGTCAAAGCATTTTGACAAATATGTTGGTGGGGACATGAAGCCAGTGGGCTCCAGCACAGTAAGAAATCTGCTCCTAAGCTTTTGTGTTGGTGACAACTAGCTGCCTGCTATGAATATATTCCAAAGGTTTTGGTTTTGGTTTGGTTTTTTGGGACAGGGTTTTTCTTTGTAGCTTTGTTAAACCAGGGTGGCCTCGAACTCACAGAGATCCACCTGCCTCTGCCTCCTGAGTGCTGGGATTAAAGGCCTGCGCCACTGCCTCTGCTGCCACCACCACCCGGTTATATTCCAAAGGTTTTACATGGTGGTTAAAGGGATGTCAGGTTCCCACTGTCTTGTCTGCTGAGTTTCTGGTTTGCAAAGCTGAAGTCTGGATGCTGGAAGGCAGACAGACCACTGAGACCGTGCACTCCCTTATACCAAACAGAACTCTAGTCTGACTCCATCTGATTCCACAGCCACTTTGACATTCATGATGACGTTTAGCTCTTTATAATCTCTTTTATAATATTATAATGATCTCTCTCTCACCCCCCCCACACAGTCTAACTGTCTTAGCTGAAGCAAAGATAATCTAAGAAAAGATATGTGTGCCACAAGAATCTCATGCTGGGGGTAGAACATGCCTGGGAGCCAGGTGCCGGCCAGAGGAGGGCATGTCTCCCAGGAAGAGATCTCACATAGTTATGACATCTTGCAAACTAGAACTCTGAAGGATGGGTCAGTGACTGGTGGGAACACACCTTGACCTGATCTGAATTATGCTCACATTTTGCCTTCTCTTTACACCTGAACCTCCTGTCAGGACCCCAAAGATGGACTTGTGGGGGAGTATCCACTGGACCTCTACTCCCTTCTCAGTATGGCTACACAAATCTTCCTTCCTCTCACTGTTACCTGTCTAACTAGCCTGTTGAAGAAGGTGGCTGAGTCTGGCATGTTCTGGCTGCCAGGGTCCGAGCTCCGACTATGACATCTATGGTAACTAGCGTCAGTGGTACCATGATAGACATGACTATGACCAAATAAGGAAAAAAATAAATAAATAAAAGGCAGCCCCTGGAGATGCCTACAGTAGCATGCATAGCACAAGTGCTCATGATCCAGTCCCAGTGAAAATGCAGCCTTGGGCCTGCTGGGCAGGAGCTGTCTTTCAAGTGTGAGCTCCAGCTCTCTCCTGCCTGGTCCTTGGATAAAATCTCCCACTCAGGAGTTCAACACTCCCAGCAATCTGGCCCACTAACCTGCACCCTAACTCTCAGAACAAAGCTCACCTCTCTCTGTGTTCCTAGACAAACCTTTGTCGTCCTGTTTCTACAAGGAACCTGTTACAGGCAGCCAGGGCGGACATCCCTCCCACCCCCCACCCTCTCTCCCATTGTGGAATATAAAAAGGCTGTTGACTCCTCCCTGGCAATGAGGAGAATTCTGAACTTGGGAGGAGGTTCCTGGGAGGGTGGACCTACCTCTCCCTCCTCCAAGATGGGTCTTTGGCAGCAAGGCACAAGCCCTCATCCCTTGACTCACCTGAATTGTACCTGCTACTTCCAGTCAGCTCCCTCAGGCTCTGAGGAAAGTCCATTGTGCAATTGCAAGCATTGTGTTCATGTGCTTAGCAAGGCCAAATATGGGTGCCCATCGTCCAGGGCAGATAACCTGGGCCTCAGCCCACGGCCCAAGAGGTTAGGATCTGCCTCTGCCCTAACATGTCAGCCAGATATCATGCCTCATTGTAGGATCCCAGGTGCCATGGGGGGACCTCACCATCTCATGGAAAGTCCAGCTGTTCTCCAGGGCCACAGGATGATGTGGGGTTTAAGTCTAGCTGTAACTTATGGATTATTCCCTGTTAACCAGGCACCAGCTGCCAAGGACAACCTCTGCCTTCAGCAGGGTGTAACTTCTCAGGAAGACAGGGCTTTGTGGGTGTGTCCTGGATCCCTGTACTTCTAGAGAGACCATCAGGAATGGAGAAGAAACCCCACATGCTAGCCCAGGCACGCTCTGAGTATTGTCTGGCTTTGGAATCTCCCCAAGATTCGACCATCAGCAGAGGTGGGTTCCTCTTCCCAACGTGGCTACATAGAATAAATCTCTCTCAGCTTTTAACTAGTACTTGTTTAACTGGCCTGTGGAGGACAAGAGACTGAGCCTAGCTTAGCAGGGCTCCCAGAGCCCAGGCTCTGACCCCAACCTATCATAGGGACTGGGTGCGTCTTGTTTCTAACTAGAAGTCACTAGTAGTTTCCCTTGCATCTTCCCACTCTGTCATTTGCATCTATAGGCAGGGGTGGAAGATCAACCCACTCTCCACTAGATACGTTAAGTCCCAGCCTGCCCCCAAGCACAGACACCGAGCAACTCCAGAAAGCTGCTGAACTAAGGCCTGGCCCCACCCCAGATCCTTCAGCTTCCTCTCTCCCAAGGATGATGCGAAACCAGAAACCATACAATATAAAACCAGAAACGATACAATGTAAAAACAGAAATGAAACAATGTAAAACCAGAAACGATACATTGCTGGAGCTTTAAGGTAGCAATGCAGCCGCACAAGAAAACCAGCCCAGCTACCCTGATTTACTTACCGTGTGGCCTTCCCCATTCCCCCCTGCCTCTTCCAGACATGAGTCCTCCTTCAACATAACGAACGCATGAATGAGCCCAGCAGAGCCCGGACCTAACACCTACTTGGGTCTGTCCCCTGCCTGCAGATCATTCTTCTGTCACTTTGCACTTACTGTCACACCGCAAGGAAGCCCCAGTCCACTTCCCCTCCCTTCCTTCAGGGACATCGTGCCGTCTCATATTAGATCTGTCTGCCCCATCATCCCATTCCAGGCACCCGGTAATCAGACACAGACACAGCCCAGCCAGTGGAGGCCTAACCCAAGCGAATAGGGTGCCCCGCTCTGGGCCAAAAGGGAAGTGGGGATGAGCAGCTGCAGACGTTAGTCCCTGCCCCAGAGTGGGAAAACAAAGCCCCCGCTGTCAGCTGTCGCTTCTTGTACCCAGGACAAGCATTTTATCACAGAGGGCACCAGGGCCTGGTCTCTCGGATTTACTGAGGCTTCTGGAAAGACCTGGGCCTGCTTCTGAAAACAAATGGATCATTTCTCACTGATGAACCCAAAAAACAAAACAAAACAAAACAAAAAAACAGTCCAGTTCGGACCAAGCAAGTAGTCAGAGCTCTGTTCTCATGCCTAGACTCAAATCGAGTGCTGACCTTGACCCAGACTTACCCTGGCACAGTGGAGACTGGGATCCCATTGAGACAGAAGTGTTTATACAAGCAGTGCTATTGTGGGGACAACAGAGCAAGGTGTCATTTATACAGACAAGCTAAGAGTCATGGGCGCTGCCAGAAAGCTCCTTGGTGGGGCAACTCAGTGGCTGGACTGTGCTATACATTTTAGTTATCCCAGAGCCCGACACAGGACTGGGGTGCAGCAAGGGCCCCGGAAGCATGGGGGCATGCAAAATGGAACCTGGATGCTGGGCATGTAACCCCAGCAGTGGGAAGGCCGAACCAGGAGGACAGGAGATCATAGACTAGCCCAGGCCATACAGTAAGACAGCGTTTCCAAAACATGGAAAGAACAAAGAGGAGGCCGAGGGGGATGAGAAGTGAGAGGGAGATGGAAAAGAGGAGGAGAGGAGAGGAGAGGACAGAAAGAAGATGGGGAAGGAGAAACAAGAGGAAAAGGACGGGGAGGAAGAAAGAAGAAGGAAGAAAATGAGGTGGGGGGGGGGGGATCTTGGAACACAGAGAACCTCCCAGGCAGAGGTACAGAGCTGGGGTCTGTGGCACACAGGTCACCCCACCATCCCTGCTTCCAAGTATTGCTACCTCATGTGGCCCATCCCCACCTTCAGTGTGAGCTCACCCCTCACCTGGTCCATTCTCCTGAGCTTGGGCACTGTCTGCCTCTTGCTTCTAACAAACAGAATACAGAAAGGGGGAGGAGGTAAAATGAGCTTGTGCAAACATGACCGCGTGCTTGTTACGTAAGACTGGTGTCCTCTTGCTGGCATCTCCCACCCTCCCCCCCGGCAGTGAGGGAGCATGCAGCCATGTTGGGGAACCCCTAGACTGCAAGGAGCTCAGGAGCCCCCCCAGCTGTCAGCCTGCAGCTGGCACCAAAATGAGACCCTGAGTCCTCCAGCCGCACAGAACTTAACTGTCTGCAGCTGTGGGACACCTGAACAGGCCCTTATCCAGGTCAGCTTCAGGCTGAGCTTGGTGGACACCTTAACTCTGCCCAGGAGTGGAGAGAAAGCCTATTGGAACGGAGCAGTGATGGGCCCCGGAGCCACAGTCTGCCCAGGAGGAAAGAGGGGGACTGTTAGGAGCAGTGACCGGCTCCCTAGCCACAGTCTACTCAGGAGTAGAAAGACTTGGAGTGGTGACGGGCTCTGGAGCCAAGAGAACTGGTTGAGACGAGATGGTTGTTATAGGCAGCAAAGCTCGAGGTCATTTGACTGGTTACACAATAGTGGACAGACAATGGGGTCACTGGAAACAGTTAAGGGTGGCTGTTAGATGCCAAAATGTCAGGTGGAGGCGGCAGAGTCAGGGTGCAGAGACAGGAATGCCAGGCAGACACGGCTGTGTGTTACTGAGCAGTTACTACAAGGGTGGGTTGGCCTCTCAGCCTTCCCTGATCAATATTTGGCTGGGAGAGAAGCACCATGCTAAGCTCCCAATCACTGTGCTAAGTACTCTCCACATCTTTTTTTTTTTTTTTTTTTTTTTTGGTTTTTCGAGACAGGGTTTATCTGTATTGTTTTGGAGGCTGTCCTGGAACTCACTCAGTAGACCAGGCTGGCCTCAAACTCAGAGAAAGCCCGCAAGGGATCAGGAAAGACACGGAGCTGGCGCCTGGAGTGAGCCGGAGAGAGTGGAGGACCAAAGAGCAGAGTGAAGACAGCGGCCGAAAGAGATCTGGGCGGGGGGGGGGGGATGGCTCAGTCAGCAGTGTGCAGGCGTGGGTGGGACTGGGCTGAGTGAACCAGCGTACCAATAGCCCCAACCCCGGAGAACCTGAATCCGACGACCCCTGAAGCTTGTTGGCCAGCCACTCCTGCCAAGGCATCAAGTTCTAGGTTCAGTGAGAGATCTGTCCCCCCAAACAAAGCACAGAGTGACAGACTCCCGATGTCAACCCATGGCCTCTCTGAGAATACACCACACACACACACACAAACACACACATCACACACACACCACGCACCCATAAACACACATATATACACGCATACATACACATGCATACTCATACACCACACACACGCACCATATACACACCATACACACACACCACACACACATACACATACACCACATACACACCACACATACCATACACACACACACACCACACACACATACACATACACCACATACACACCACACATACCATACACACACACACCACACACCACATGTGCATCAGCACTCGTGCACACAAGCACCGACATGAATAGGCATCTCATAAGCTAGAGCTACGTTAAAGCGGCCGGTGTCTCCTTTCTGTTTCTGCACTGTAGCCCAGCAGTCTGCTCCTCTTCCTCCCAGGACACACTATGGCCAATGGAGACTCAGCAGCCAGTCCACAGACCCAGCTAGTCCGTTAGTAGCTGGCTTTGTCTTCAGACGTTATTCTTTCCTCCTAACCTTCGAAGTGCACTCAATCGTGAATGTGATTGGTTGCCTGGCACACAGGGACCAGGTGGGCACAACCATGGTAGAATCAGACCTCTGCACTCTCAGGGCAAAACATCCTTCCCCCAACCTTGAGGCTCAGGTTTGCCCAGGATCCTACGGCCTACAGTCTCCATGCTCTCCAGCAGAATGAGCCAGGCTCAGGACAAAAGCTGAAATTAGAGTTTTTCGTTGGTGATGGTTTTTGTTTGCTTGTTTGCTTTGAGTTTTGGGGGTTTTTTTGTTTGTTTGTTTTGTTTTGTTTTGTTTCTTTTGCTTTTTGGTTTGATTTTTCAGTGTAGTCCTAGCTTCCCTGGAGCTATTCTGTAGACCAGGCCGGCCTTGAACTCACAGAGATCCTGAGTGCTGTGATTAAAGGCGTGAGCCACCACCAGCAGGCTGGCAGTTAGGTTTTTTATGTGATGATTTACGAACCCTTAGGTTTGGTAACGCTAGGACTCCCGGGCCACCGTGACTAATCCCACTTGAACGAGTGAAGACAATGACTTTGTGCTGGAGTGCCCGGCTGCTGGCACGCTCCTCAGTAAGATGCCTCAGAGCCAAGACTGCCGGCTGGACTGGCTCTCCCGGTGGCCTCCGCAGGAGGAAATGCCCCAGGGTTCCGTTGAGCAGAGCTGGGGCCTAGCCAGCCTGCCTAAGCTTAACCTCTGCTCTTGTCTCCACTGTGACCTCCTTCCCATCGAATCCAGCCACAGCACCACCTGAGGGACATCCTTGCCATCTTCCCTTGTGCCACTCGGCTGCCCGTGTTACCTCAGCCCCTTCAGATGCTGCTCACAGCAGCCTGCCCCGTTTCCCTTCTTCATCAAGTGGACCACCTGTGTTCAGGGCTAAGCTGTGTACCCTGACTTGCCCACAAAGACGTCCTGTGGGCACCTCAGAAAGCACAGGCTTGGGGACACAGGAAGGGACCATTGCAAGCGATGAGGGTGTGCCCCACCCAGGTCTCCTATGAGCCCACCTCCCCTATAACTTTTTACTGAACGTATCTTCGATTCTGCCTGAGGGCTGTCTTGGCCCTGAGACATGCAGACACCAGGCACAGAACAGACCAGGCAGCTGGGGAGTTTCCCCCTGGGATCAGCCTGCGGGACCATGGCAGTCTATGAATAGAAAACCCAGTTTCCTCAACCTGTGTCTGAAGACAACACAACCACACTCTGTGTAGTCTCCTAGAGGGAATTCTCCTGCCTAGAGCAATGAGTCCAAGACATGGGGTTAATGCTTACCAGACCAGGAGTGATCTAAACATTTTAATAAAGAGTCGAGACAGCGAGCATCTGGGGAAGTGACTCAGTGGATACGGCACTTGCCACACGCGCGTGAGGACCCGAGTCTGCGGCCCCGGAGCCCACATAAAGCCTGATGGGGCTGCGTGCATCCGTGGTCTCAGGAAGGTGGAGAATCCCCAGAAGCTCGTGGGTGGGTCAGCTGCATTGGTGGGCACAGCTGTTAACAAGAGGCCTGGTCTTGAGGTGCAAGGTGAGGACAGACATCAGAAGTGTCACTGACCTCCACTAGTACAAGATGGCAGACACTGCTGGGGCTCCCTGTGGTGCCTATTAGCATACCAAAGCATATGGTGGCCACAGGACCCCCTCAGCATCACAAGTGCTTGTTGAATATTTCAAAGCCAGGGCTGGCATCCTGGCCCTACCCTAAACTTTTCCAGCTCGTGGGCTTCCCTGCCTGAACTACACATTCCCCCTTACAACCCTGTTCCTTTGGCCATTCGGTATCATCTGTCTGTCTGTCTGTCTGTCTGTCTGTCTATCTATCATCCACCCATCCATCTATCATCTATCCATCTGTCATCCATCTATCATCTATTCATCTATCATCTATCAATCAATCTATCATCTATCTATCCATCTGTCATGCATCCATCTATATATCATCTATCAATCAATCTATCTATCATCTATCTATCTGTCATCCATCTATCTATCTATCAATATATCTATCTATCATTTATCTCTATCTCCCACTCTCCTCTTTCTCCCTCTCTGTCTCTCAGCTCTGCTCCTGCTTCTCTTGTGGCCAGGTCCAGTCTGCCGGCCATGTTCAGCCTAATGCTTTCTCTCTCCACTCTGCACTCTTCCAGATGCCCCTGGCTGCTCTCTCTACAATATCTACAATAAAAACCGTCCCCTTAACCATTCCACGGAGCCGTCATGTCACCAGTTTACACTGCTGTGAGCAGCCACGCATGTGACGGGAACTGAACCCATTTACTGCAAGGGCAGTAAATGCTTTCAACCACTGAGCTATTATTACATCAGTCTCCACTTACTTGGTTTTGTAGGCAGGGTTTCATGTAGCCTAGGCTGTCCTCAAATTCAGTATGCATCCAAGGATACCTTTAATGCCCGAGCTTCCTGCCTCTGCCTATCCAGAGCTGGGATTACAAGCATGCACTATTGTGCCCAGCTTATGCAGTGCCAAGGATCAAACCCAGAGCTTCATATATGCTAGACAAGCGCTCTACCCACTGAGCTGCAGGCTCAGCCCCCAGGGCTTCAAGTACGCTGGTCAAGCACCCAACCCACTGAGCCACAGTCACAGCCCTACAAGGGAATGTTAATAGTCACAACTGTATGAGGGTTCCCTTGGGTAATCTCTGAAGCTCTGACTCTCAATGCCACATCACTCCTGGGGGGCAGGGCTCAGGTCACCTCCACGCCTGGCATTCTGTTCTCAGAAACCACTGGGATTTCATATTCTGCAGTTGGCAAAGGCCCAGAATCAACGATGCAGGTTTTGGAAATTGTGTCCCATGGAGCGGGGTGCAAGGGCCAGTTGGTGACGGAAGGACACCTGCTTTCCTCTCCCAAGTCATTATCAGGCTGCCTAGGGCCGAGGCAGGAGAACAGGACAGCATAGACAGATGTAGCATATCTTTGCCTAGCTAATGTGATACTACACAACATATATGTGTGTGGGTATATGGGTACAGGATTGTGTTTGTTGAGGCTTGCTTTGAGTTCTACTGCACGGCCAATTTTGGAGAAAGTTCCATGGGCTGTTAGAAGAACATGTGTTCTTTAGTCTTTGGGTGGAATGTTATGTAGATGTTGTAGCACTTGAATGAAAATGGCCCCTACAGCCGGGCAGTGGTGGCGCACGCCTTTAATCCCAGCACTCGGGAGGCAGAGGCAGGCGGATCTCTATGAGTTCGAGGCCAGGCTGGACCGATAGCCTCCAAAACAATACAGAGAAACCCTGT